GCAGGGCCGCTGCCGGCCGCTGCGAAGCGCACCACCAGCAACGTCACTTGGCACCCGACCCTGGACTTCCAGGAGAGGTGTCCAACTTTACCCCATTCACTAAAAGAAATTGCGATTTTTCTGCTTATGCAATATGATAAAACAATAGAATAAAAGAGGAAAGGACCGGCACTTTCAGTTTTTTCAGGCGTGGGTCGGTGAGCAAACGACGTTATTTCCTTTAGAAAAGCACATACATTTTCACGGCATTCCATTCAAGCCCTACACACTAAAAGCTTATGAACATTGTTATTCATAGCTTACTGAGTTCTGTGCGCGTGCTCTGCTTACGCATTCTTTTAATACGCCGGTGTGAACAAATTTGTTCATGCTGGCGAATTAAAAAATGCGTAAGCAGAGATTTCAGCAAGCTATGAATAAAAATGTTCATAAGCTTTTAGTGTGTAGGGTTGCAAAAAGACGCGTTTGTCAGGCTTTGAGAAATGTACCTCGTCGCTGACATTTTTACCAACGACATTTGTACTTCGAACCTTTTCCCTGAATAAGACCGCACCGTGAGAAAAGCAACCCCCTCCCTCGCTCGCCATGCCCCCCAAAAACGGTATGGTAATTTGTGTAAACCTCATCAACAACCAGCGTTTGTCTCATTCAGGTCAGGCGACGGGTGGCTGGCGCACGCCTCGCTTGAGCAACCAACACCAACACCACCACCCGCTCCAGCCAAGGAGAGAGACGGCACCCCCACAACATCTCCCAGTAAGTGGGACGGCCCCTACACTGTCGCCGCATCCCGCCCGCCTGGAGTAACCGCTCCCGCTTTGAAATTCGGCTCACGCGCGACTCACGCCGCCGCCGCTGCTGCTGCTGCCTGCCTGCCAGGCCGGCCGGCTTGACTCACTGCCTCACTTTCAACATGTCGGCCCGACCCGACCCGACCCGACCAGACCCGACCCGGCGACCCGCTCCAGACGGGGCCAGCACAGTTTTCAAGGTTATGTCGATGGCCTGATGGCCCACCGGAGCTGGAACCGGCCGCCGGCCGACCTGGGCGATGGGCCGTAAACAACTGCTAATAACCGACCTCTAGCGGAGCCGACCCGCCGTCCGACCCGGGCCGACCCCGGTCAACCCGGGCGACTGGGTGCGACCCAACCCGCGGCCTGCATGCTTGCACTTTCGCTACGTAGTGGCATTTTAATGGGTGGTGGTGGGTGGTGGTATATCTTTGAAACTGCAAATGACCCCTGTACGATTCTCCTTTTTTGTTTTTTTTTTGTTTTTTTTTTTGTTTTTTTGCTTTGAAGTGCCGTGCGTTCATGTACTACATGTGTCGTTTAATTCCATTTACTGAGAAAACTCGTGGATTTACTCGCGAGTGGGTGGGGGTGGGGGGGTTGAGGAACTGCGCAGCAGATCAAAAATGCACTGGCCACGGCGGCATCGGCGCGGTCGTTTCGAACTCGCGCGTGGCGTCAAAGTTCAAAGAGATGAAGCTTCGAGCCAAAACCTGGTCATTCCGAGCACCGTGAGTGACACCCATGCGGCGCTGACTGATTGCGTGGCCGGTGTCCTCGGCCCACATGAGTCCACCCTGCACCCAGAAAAATGAAAAGTTGTAGGAGCCACCTCATGCTCCTTTCAGGGATAACCGCAAAATATGGTTGAGACGACGATCCGCCCGTGGTGAAAACCGCATTCTTGGTTAATACACCTGTGTTGTTGTTGACTCAACCATATTTTATGGTTATCCTTGAAAGAACCATAGATGGTTCCTACAGCTGTAGGCGAACAGTGAACTGTTTATTTTTCTGGATTAGCCCCTGCGGGTCCCTTCCTCCGGATCCCTCCCTCGGGTATCGGATCGCGCCCGGGTTCGAAACCCGCCCTGGGACCCCGCCAACGCTGACGCAACGAGCTGACCGATGATCGGCCGCGGGAGATGTCGCCAGGAGCGGGAGCATCTTGTCCACGCCGAGGTGTGGCAGGGC